GTATACATATATATATATATATATATATATATATATATATATATCGGGTGGCTTGGCACGAGTGGCTGATTCTGGCGAACAATCGTGATCAGTCTGATCTTGGCTTAATGATGCAGTGTGGGATATCTGCTCAACAGCTATTTTTGTCAAAAGTGTAATGCATCGATTCTGATGAAAAATGGCTTAACTCACCTGGGCCGTTATGCGTGCATTTTGTTCTGGTTCCGGTGATACGTTCAAATCATTTCCGTCTCTTGTGTAGCGGTCTATCCAGTCATCGACAGAAAATTCGGGCTCGTCCAGTTGACTCCATCGATTCACCAGTCGATCAACCATTGACTCAACTAGTCGACTTACCTCCTCCGTGTCACCACAAGCCTCACGGACGGCTTGGGCGCGTCGATCCAGACTGGCTAACAGTTGTGCCCAGCGTGGCTCATGGCTGTTGATGTAGTTCTGGAAGTGGACAAAGATGTGGATGGCTAAGGTTAAGCTACTGAGACTGGAGTAGTAGTCAAAAGTTACAAACAAAATGAAATCCGAAAGTTTCTAAAAGTGGTTCTGGTAATCCATTCGCAAGAGGAGCAACTCTGCAGAATGGACCGTAATCATCATCATGGGACTTCTCATGCAAGAAAAAAAACCATCAGATCACACTCTTCGTACAATTTTTTCCTCAAGGAAGACTATGATTATCATGACCTACTACATCGTACTTACGAACGATGCAAGTGATGGGTTGCAAACCGTCAGTGTGATTTCAAAACCGTTCGAAGCCTGTTTAATATAGTCAGCGTCAATATGAGGTGATGTGGAACTCCAAACAAGGAATATTTCTTTGGTCTGGTGAATGTCGGGCTTAAACTCTTTGAGCCTTGAATGACATCGTGCTGAAATTTTGTCGCATTATTCGTGTCCGCCTTAGGTATATGTGCTACTTACTAGTTCTAACGAGTATTGTGCGCCGACAGTTTTCGGAGGTAAGATATAACTATACTGAGCTTGCAGTCCATATATATGTGTTCGTTTCATGTTTGACATAACATATCCAGGGCCCAAACAGAATACAATTTCTTCTTGTAACGGTGAATTTTTCATCCGATTGCCATGTACGATTTGTAGATTGAGTGAGTGATGTTCCCTAAAGCTCCTCGAGTTTGAACAGGTAGCAGATTGCAACGCCAGTATGTAGGGGTTTAAATTTTTAGGACAAAACTAAGGGACTGCGTCTACCTAATGAGCGGCACGAAGGGCGAAACCGGTCGTGAGCTGTCGAAGAGATTTCAGTAACTTTATGAGTAATGTATTGCGTCTACATGAGGTCAGAGTTGACCAAAATTAGATAAACACTGCCAAAAAGTCGGGTCTGTGATCTTCAACTAATCGGAGCACGTTCAAAAGTTGTTTGTTTAGAGTTGAAAAACAACACAGCTGGATGTACGTCAATCTGCCCCCATTTTCTGCAAATACGGCTCTTCTGAGGTCGTCAGTATTTGGAATTCGATGTCACCAGTGAATTCAAAAGAACGTGAGCAAGTATTTTGAGTTAAATCGGCCAAGCATTTGGCTGTTAAACCTTGATATCCATGCGCGCGTTTGGTTTCTTCCCGATTTGTCTATGTACTCTAAAAACTTCAGCACTTTGCTGAGAATCCGAGAATTTAACCTAGCATTGATGGTTGGCTATGTAGACAAGATGCTGCCCGAGTGGAGTAAAGATGCACTAGAGGCGATGACACAGTTATTAATTCTGTAACAATATTATGAGCCAGAGGAGGTCAATAGCATACGGGTTCCCTACAGGTATTTACAATTAGGCATATGTAAGATTTGACCGAGCCAAATGATGTGACTAAAAAGCTGGAGGTTTGCCGCTGAATGACCGAATAAATCACGTTCATCGGCAAAAGTAAATTACAAATTTACTTTTTCGTGCGGCTCACCTTTTGCTGGAAATATCCTTTAGTTAGGAAAATTACCGTTCGGATGATATTGAATAGGTACGCTATCGCCGAAGTGATCATTACGAGGTAAAGACTGAAAACACTGGGAGCTTGAAAGCAAATTTTGTTACCTTCTATGCCATTGTAAACTCCATAGAATCGTCTTAACAAATGGAATGCCTTCATACCAGAGAAAGAGGATATGTTAATCTGGAGAGTTTTAGCCGAAACGCAGCGTAGTAGGACAAGATGTTATGATCCGACGTTTCGGTTGCCGCGAGTAGTTGTTTCAAGGATAGTGTTAAAAAGCATCTAGGATCAGTCAACTTTGCCAAAGATGGTCCGTGGTACCCCTTAGTTCAGTGAACTACATGTGAAATCCACAAGGAGGGTGGGCAAATATTTTCCAGGTGCATCAAGCAGGTGAAGGGGTTCAAAGGTTATGTTGATTGTGCTGCGTCTACTCCGAAGGACAAAATCGAAATCAAAGAGAGTATCGAGAGCGATTCCATCGACATTCTAGTGCGCCATTAGAATCCACTTATTTTGAACTCTATCTGGGATGGTTCTTGGGGGGTTGGACAAAATGCTTTTCGAACAGTCTAGAAAGTTGTCGTTAAACTCATTGTAGCTAATGGAAAGCTTGATGCGACCATGTACCGTTAGTTCCCAGTTAGCTGTATCATTTAGGATCACAGCGGCGAGAGAGATAACATGTGTGTGTTATATATCAAGTTGCAAAGGCCACCAAGAGATAAAGCAGGTGAGGGCAACAAATTCCATCATACTCAGATGACGTATAATGTATTGGTACGAATTCCTCCGTTCACACGACCTCCAACTTCGTAAATCTTTTGTTAGAGACTCACATAAAGATGGTTTACAGTGGTTCTGTTTCCGGCTCTTGGCCGAAATCATATGAAGCTACTCCGTACCAGAGATCTATTTCCTGATTTTCGAAGGAATCAACAAAGTCAAAGCTTACAGAGATGGCTTCTGATTCTGCTTCCGTTGCAGCAAGGATATCTTGCTGTTCACCTTGCATCAACGAGTCATCGACCGAGCTGGAACCGTGGTTACGACCGAATGAGTTATTTCTGGACATGGTGTGTGAAGGTGAGTTGGAAGCTTTATCCAACGACGTTTGTCGTGAAAAAAGAGTCATGCGGGGGGACGAGGATCTAGCCATTGCGGATATCCGAGATGCTTCGTCTGCACGTTCGTTCAGCCAGTCAGAGAGGACACTGTATTCTTCTTCAAAGTGGCGCCAGTGCAGTAGAGCGTTTTGAAGTTTTGCATACCTTGTGTTAACCCAGTCTACCAACCGCCCCCATCGATTTGCCAAATCGGTAATGATTGCTTCTAATCCAAACTCTCTTTCGGTTTCCTCCGCGTTGTGAAGGGGAACTAACATAATAAAGTTATCCAAACGTGCGGCCAAAACCTCGCCAATTTCAATTCCCTCCTCCAAGCAACGATTCACCTCCAACTGGTTTTTCAATTCCCGAATTGATGGACCGAAAGGGAGCTCTGCCTGGCGCGACCTAAATAATGACATGGTGTGGCAAAAGCGAGAACGTAATCAAATGAAACAAATTTTGTCATAACAGCGCGTGATAAATATTTGAACCAGATTGCTGTTCAATTTGACACAAGCTGATGCTATCTAAACCCGACCGGAAATTGCTATTACGGGCAGAGGTCCTGCAGCAGTCAAATTGCGAAATCAAAGCAATCGGTAATTCAAAGGAAAGGCGAATAGTAATTTACCTGGTGTAGCCAAGTGCTTCTCCCCCTCATCCTTAAATAAAGCTTTCCATTCTCATGAAGGATGACCTGACATTTCCAGGCTAAACTAAATGAAAGTCACATAAGGCATGCAGTAACTTTGAAACACAGTCTTGGACGAAAGTAGAAATAGGAGGTGTCAGCAGGAACTAAGTTGCAATACGAAACGTCTTTAAACAACAAATAAATGGCGCAAAACTCTTATGTGTTCCACTTGTGTTCAGATATCTTTTTTATGTTGGATTGTTCGGTTATTCGAAAGAACGTTTTCGTGCAAACTCCTTGTTCGAACCAATCGCAAGTGAAAATGAAGTCACTATGAGGTATTCTGAATTCTATGTAAAGGGTCATGTAGAGTACTTTTTGACAAGCGGCTCGACTAATCTTAAGATAAAATTCCATACATTTGAAACATACCGTTCTTCTTCCAGCTTTTCCAACTGCAGACGGATAGCTACTAGCAATATGCCTTGTCTCCGCAAAAGGCAGTTTGTAATACGGCGCCCCAGTGTCTGGTTAACGCGACATAAATTGTTCCAGCGTGAGGACAGCAGAGCAGTTTGCCGTTGAATAACTTCTGGATCCAGATGAAGTAGCTTTTCGCGCAAACGAGCCTGATACTCTCTGTCCTGCTCTGATAAAGCATCCGTACTTTCGGCGTTTCCTGTGTCACCTGCATCTTCTAGCGCCTGACGATCTCGGCAAATTCGAATCAACCGATTTCCGAGACGCAAACAACGACCGACCGCCATTTGGCGACGGGCCATGTGAGCTGTCAAATCCTGCAGAAAGTTGGTCGGGAAGAATTACAGGTGGCGATATCAAAATACACTGAAAATTTGCATCAGATTCTTAATTATTCGCATAATTTTGCCTACTACCCACTGCTGCAACTGAACTGGAGTCGTTTCCTGCAGAGTGTTACAATGGCCCTTATGGTGTAGAAAACTTTTGCTGGTGAAGCCAGATTGTAGAGCACCTTGTGTGTTGGAGAGTACCGTTTACATTAACTCCATTTAACCACTATCTTTTGCAAACTGTTTGAATCATTGTGGATGCCCAACAGCTGGTGTCGGACAATCACTCGCGGAAAATGACTCAGTTGGCATGGTTGGGGGCAAAGCCACTTTATTGCTGGGATGCATGTGGTGGCCTACACAGTTGTGATTCTTGCCGGATGAATCAGCGATAAGTTTATCACCGCATTTACTCACTGGATTAATGAAATCTGGTTTGCATATAAGAGCTGAACCTCTGTTGTGAGGGTTTAGTGGGATTTTCTGATTCTTTTGAGATGAATGTCCCAGATTTTTGGTTCTGGAATTTGATGTCTGGATGAGTGATTACCCAGAGTGCATCAGCATAGAGGATCTATTCAAGGGAAGAACATTGTGTTCTGGGAAGTTAATTGAGGTCTGATGATATGATGTAGAAAGATCAGAGAAAGTCTAACCTACCTCGTGCACCTCAAAACGCGCCATGGCTTCATCGACGCGCCCGACAATTTTCTCGTGCAACTTTTTTAAACGTTCTGTTGTGCTTGATAGCAGCGACTCAATGTCATTCCGTTCGTCGTTCGTTAAAAAGTTGAGTTGCCGTAAATTCTTTCGAAAATTTGCATCGGAATAATTTGACCAACTGAACTGTTCAACCGCTTGTGGTACTACAAGTTCCAAGTGCGTAAGGTCGTTGTTGGCAAAACGTTCTTCCATAGCTAGTAACCAGGCCAGTGTGGTCTCAATTGTTGAGTCGAACAGATCTGGGTCTGGCAAGGATCTCATTGTGTTTCCATCTTCACCGGAATCATTGTCTAGCTCATCGTCTAACCACGTGGTATCCGAAGCACTTGCGCTTGAGGTGGGTGATGCGCGACTCAGTACAGTCACATTAGTTGTTTCCATACCTGCTTCAGACTGATCTTGTACCTTTGAAAAAAATGAAAACTTTGTTTAGGATGAACCAACTTGGGGATTAAAGCCTTAGGTGTGTATATTGCTGGCTAAAATCCACATTTGATCTTAGTCACTCACAGCAGATTACGAAAGCAGTTGGGAAAAATCAATCATGGGATTTCAATGGTCTACCACAACTTCTTGATAGGATGAGGATTGGCACTTTCACCTAGTGGACGCAAGCCCACACACTATGCAACAAAAGAACTACACTCTAGCAGCTACCTCACAGCCCTGGTTGCTTGACTTCCAACACGATTGCATCGTGTAAATAAGCGATAAACAAACCATCTATTAGAAAAGATGCAGACAGAAACCAGAATACCCTGTCGCAACGAGTCTCCCGGTTGTGGGTAATTCCCACGTCGCACTTTCCCCTTTCGCATGTCAAAAGAAGAATCAAAATCGATGGTTTGCAAAAGCGCGTGACCATATATTTTTTTACAAAGGACTGCAAATCCTCCACCAGTAAACTGGTAGTCACTGAGTGAAAAGTCTAGCTATTCGTCCGGAAATCGACTTGAAAGCAAATGGTTTCATTTCTTTCCAAAAAATGGCTGGTTCGGTTTTTGGCAAGACGATCTGCTTACGGGCTTCTGCCTAGACTTGTCAGTAGCCCATTTTCCTCTTACATTTTGGCCGCCTAACAATCCATACCAACAAGTTACCCAGCATAGCCACTTTACTGATGCCTTTCAAATTGCAGAAGTAAGCAGTACCTGTGTAACATTGATACTACTGAAGGGGAAGGTACGCGAGTAGTATGTCTTCTCGTAGATCCACTTTGCGTCGCTTAAAAAGTGAGATCTATTACGGAGTTTGTGGAGTCGCTCTGTAGCGTTTGCTTGGATTTGTGCGACATCTAGTGAATACGCAGGAAAGTTCAGAAAGACGCGTTCAACAGGAAGATGGATGTCCAATTTTTGTAAACAAGATGCATATGAGAGTTTTACTTCCCTGTCCAACAGTCTATAACTTAACTGTTCACATTTTCTAATGAATAACTCCGCAGCGAAGACCTTTTTACAGGTACTTCAGTCGGACTAGTGCACTGTCACTAATCACGTTGCCGAAAGCAAAGCAATTGGGAAGTCAGTGTAGATGTCTTGTGAATGAGTTCATTTTCTGTATGTAAAGGCTAGACTTTCAACAAGCTGTCTCGGATGATTTTTAAGGAATGACTGTTAACCAGATACTCAAATAAGTGACGTTTTCATCTTTCATCACCATGGAAGCCTTTGCTTTATGGCTTAGAAGGGGACTGATTCAAGTGCAACTTGTTTAAAAGCGATATACCAAGGAGAGATGGATAACTGAATAAAGATCTCACCCACTTAGAGCCATCATGTGATGTAAAGTGTCCTCAATTCGGTTTTATTAAGGCAGGTTTTATTACTTCCTAAGAGGGGTATTTCCAACCAATAGTAAGGCTCCATCAATTTGAAAAGAACTATTTTTTATGTACACAAGTAGTTGCTAAATGCATACTAAACTGTGAGGAATTTGTTACCAGATCTTTCGATACATGAATTATTGCGTTATGTTGTAGCTGTACATCTGAAAGACTTACTGCGTTCTGCCTAATCTATGGGCTATCTGTATTGCTTCTTAGGGTTTCTGTGGAACCGCAGGGTGGCTCTTAGAAACCGGACATGTGACTTGGCCTTGACTATTGACTACTTTGATGAGGCATAGACTTTCACAAGCTGTCTCGGATGATTTTTAAGGAATGACTGTTAACCAGATACTCAAATAAGTGACGTTTTCATCTTTCATCACCATGGAAGCCTTTGCTTTATGGCTTAGAAGGGGACTGATTCAAGTGCAACTTGTTTAAAAGCGATATACCAAGGAGAGATGGATAACTGAATAAAGATCTCACCCACTTAGAGCCATCATGTGATGTAAAGTGTCCTCAATTCGGTTTTATTAAGGCAGGTTTTATTACTTCCTAAGAGGGGTATTTCCAACCAATAGTAAGGCTCCATCAATTTGAAAAGAACTATTTTTTATGTACACAAGTAGTTGCTAAATGCATACTAAACTGTGAGGAATTTGTTACCAGATCTTTCGATACATGAATTATTGCGTTATGTTGTAGCTGTACATCTGAAAGACTTACTGCGTTCTGCCTAATCTATGGGCTATCTGTATTGCTTCTTAGGGTTTCTGTGGAACCGCAGGGTGGCTCTTAGAAACCGGACATGTGACTTGGCCTTGACTATTGACTACTTTGATGAGGCACAGATAATGACAACCCCGTGGCAGACTAGTTGTTTAGCTATTTATTACGTTTGGGAACCGTCCAATCAATAAATTTAGTCAGTAAGTTTGCACCGTATTTAACTATCATTATACAACGAAAATCATCTAACTCTAGCTTACTCTTGATACTTACCATCGCTGAAGTTTGAATTTCGAGGATCCCACGTGAACGCCTTTTTCGATCGCGCTCAACCGCTTTCCGAAACTCCAGAATGTAAGTTGCCGTCGCTCGTGCATCTACCTGTTCCGGATGCATATCGATTGGTTCCAGGAGCCGCGGAGTTGCGAATTCCGCAGTGGCCAGATGAAACGCCAACGATAAATTCTGATTGACTGTTCGTTCCAATCGTGTTCCGTAGGTGAATAGGTCTGGTCTGACAAAACCAGTGAAAACAATATGTGCACCAAGATAGGTGACAATGGAAATCAATCACCAAAACATTTTCAAATTTTCTGTTCGCTCTGGTGGCACATCTATCTACGAAAATATCTAAACCATCAATTTTGTAAACTTTCAAAAACGTACGAAGAACGGATAGCTTCGAATTCGACACTTTGGCCACCTTGGCACTGTTGACATCCAAATTCAATGATTAGACCAGACCAACCAAGCATAATACTGCCTCAGCGTTTTTCTATCAACCTCCTATTTGAATTCTACGTAAAATCATTGAGCTGATCAATTCCTCAATAACGAACGCAAAATAAAGCCCAAGGGAATCACATATTGGCTTTGATGGCAGTCCTACTGATGCATTTGTGGGAACGTCGCTCCTAAAGATCACTAAAGATCACACAGGGAAGTCTTGACTAAACATCTAAAAGTCTCCCCACTAAGGCAAAAATGTGAAAAAACTCGCAATTCACTCCACAATTGAAGCAGGTCTTTGCTGAAGTTCTGCTATGCATACTAGAGCTGTTTTATCCCTGTTAGGAAACGTCAGGTGTAGGCACCTCTAGGAAGCTTAAAGACGGCATCCTTTCTACAGGCAGTGTGAACACTCAACCACGACCGACTGGCTAGCAGTTTGATCACACTTGGAAGGACGGATTGGTCACTTTTTAATTATGTGACAAGTGTTTAATAATTAGATGGCTCTTTGAGTGATTAGTCTTCAGGCAGTAGGCCAAGGCGAATTGCAGCTTATCGTTCTTTAGCAATTTGACTATATTTTCTAACTAGTGCGAAAGTTCTCATTGAGAAGCTTTAATTCTCATCCCAAGAGATTTGAAGTACTCGTACTAGAGCATGGGTCGAGTTAAACATCGTATTCTCCTAACTTTGAGCAGAATCAGTAGACCTGAGCTATCTGCTCCTTAAAAGGAGTGTTTGTGGATATTTCACAGTATTCAAGGATAAATGTTTGTCAGAATTTCGGCATGGGTTTACGATGCCCAGTCACAGTGCACATCAGAAATAGCAGAACAAAATTTGTTCAAATGGATGCCATGCCTGATCAATGGAATACCTATGATAAGTTTACACTCTGGAAGCGGTGAAGAGGATGACCATTTGTTTGAAGCTTTAATTCTCAGACTACCCAATTTGGAAAATTTACTGTTAACCATGGTTTCGAAATCTTAGTAGCCTTGTAAATTGCTATTCTGTTATACAAGCTTTTAGCACACGTCAACGATAAGTCAAATCACGTGACATATTGCATGAAGGTTCAACTCAAAGATGCGTGGTTGAGGGTGAATTTACTCCGTGGGTGAACCTCGCAGACGCCTCACATGTCTGTTGTTGATGTCAGTGATGTAAGAGCTACCAGGCATTCCTACATTTTCGTGCTCAAAGGGCCTTGTTTTGAAATGATGAAATTTACACGAAACCTTTAGTTGAGCTACCCGAAATTTCCAGCACGATCCAAAAACCCTAATTCGATAGTGATGGATTCGATGAACAACAACCAAATGCCTATCGGTGCAATACAGGGCAGTATTTGCGCCGGGGCGTATCAGCTGTATGTTGAATATTCAAAATAGTTACTCCTTTATCGGTCAGCCTCCATCTACCAGCTTATACGTTGGGAAATGGCCAGCTTCAGTCTACCTATATGAGGAAATGCACTCCATATAGCTCGTCACCTTGATTGTGGATCGTAGGTGGTAACTGATCAGCTCGCCGAACTTGGAAGTTTATTGGCAAATGGTTGCTTGTTTGCTTCCCAAGCTCAGTGAACAGATCGAAAGCTACCTGAACTGCAGTCGATTACAGCAACCGAGCTACCAACATTTCCAAGTATTGTAAGCCTGCTGCCTCGGTTAGAATAAGAGTGCCAAACAATGCGTGCCACTTGCATTGTCATTATTATTACGTGATGTTCGTGTCCCCTAGTTTTTTATTAGCGCATCTTCCAAAGCATTTGAAAGGATTCAAGCTCACTCAATTTTCCAACTTTATAAATGTAACTCAGTTATCGGATGTAACTTGACATCATGATAATTCCCACCTTCATTGACTCACTGTGCCCATATTCTTTTGAACTCTACTTGTTTCGCTCATCTGTACCGGAAACCAGCTTAACACAAAGGTCATTCCTTCCGACCCTGGTATATTAGCATGTGTGCGCAGCTCGCCTACCTATCCACATGTGTTCGTGCCCCGTTTGCCGAGCCTGCCCTGATCGGTTCTGTCGCGATTTCCGTGCGGTCGCAGCGCCAATCAGAAACACGAGACAGGCCTCGAAGGGGACGAACGCAGACAATGCTACGGAGCCGCGAACCGGTGACGTGAACCTGAACAATTAGGGTTCGTTCTATGGGTTTGCTCACTTTTGTGTAAATAGTGCCGTAGATTTAGGAACCCAGTTCTTTCTTCTGGAATGACTCAAAGTTCAGTATCAGGTACCACAACATTAATGCAAAATCCTCTGTTCCACTAAGCATGACCGATAAAATAATCATTGACTTCGCTCTGTTCTAAAGATACAGTGATGATGTCGTGTACTTTGCACGAATTACTTAGATATAGCTTGAGGAAAACAAACCTCAATAGATATTTCTTTACCAGGCAAAGTTTCGCGTGACACATACAGATAATGGCTATGACAAAGAAATGTCAAATAGTTCAAAGTAGACTCAGGTGCCAGCCGTTGTCGAGATCCAACTGAGCAAAAAGAAGATGGAATGTTACGCACGGTCTAAGGCGTATGGTCATGTGATCGTTATGCATTTTCAATTTCTATGATGCACGGTAGGCTGAGCTCTACAGACCGAGCGGTAACAAAAAATAGCTTTAGAAATGTGAATATACTGTAAATACTAATCTTCAAATGTAACATATTCTGCTTCGGAATTACAATTCGTATAATGTGAGGCCCGCAATATCCTTCCGAATCAGCCGCCTTTGTAAATGATTGGAATCGATCTTAGGTATGCTTACACACGGTCGGATGTAGCACTGTAGTTGCAAACCTAATCGTTTTTGGCGACGAAAACTACTCTAGCTTTAAGTTAGAGAGAGAACATACCTTGGTATTAAAGTTGATGCATTCTACAAAGACTGATACGGTAAACTGATGGATAACTACTATCTGAATCCTATATATACTTAGTGCCTTTCATGGTCGTGGACAGTGTTTAGCTCGCTTTTGAGGCAAGCTTCGCCACAGAGATCTAGCTAATGACTGACTCCGCGAACTCATGGTTTGTTCGAATTTCCACATTTTCCTTTTTTTGAGTGCATGTGCTTTTGGTTGTTTTCTAGCAATTTTGTGAAATCAACTAAGAACACTTGTTGGCTGCTTCCAACCAAGACTACCACAGATAACCTGATATTTGCAAGGTTTCCTTTACGTTTCCAAAGAAGATGTAAGCTTTCTATCCTATCGCAAGCGAACTACTAGAACACTGTGTTGTGGGAGTTTATCCCTTTAAGTCGTATTAAGTTATTGGCGTTTCGAGGATACTTGGATATTCTCAACTGAGATCTCGTCCTGTAAGCGAAACCACTTTATGTAGTAAAACCGATAGGAAGTTAAATTCGTATTCGGAGCCATCGGCAGCGCCTACGGGTAGTCGTTCGGACACTCAAGCATTCGGTCACTAGCAGTAGTGATCCATTCCCACCCAACTTATATATATTTAGAAACAGCTGTACAGTTATGCTTGACTTTTCAGCATAGAGTGTCTTCACTTACAGGACGAAAGTTCACCTGGAAACTCCCGAAACTCCCCACATTAACAATAATGCATAACTCAACAGAGAGGATAGTTTACAGGATGAGTGAAACCTCCATCTCAGTAGCCATCCTTCGAGCAGCAGTCCCAGTTGATAAGTGACCACGGAATGTGTGTTCTCTGACTGAATGATGGAGTGACACTTCATCTCGCATTAGATGAGCTTATTTTGCCGTTCTTTAATTGTAGATTTCTATCCATTTTCGTCGCCAAGTCCTGAGAAAGAGGTTGCCTTAAGAGCGTTTTATATCTTTAATTTCCGTCTCAGTATATTTTCATTCGTTAATTTCGCACAACGGTCTTTAAAAGAAATCCCACGCCCCCGTTCGAATAAACGCAAGCCACAGCGGAAAACGCAGTCTTTCCTGTCACCAACAACCCTCGTTCGCCCGTGGAGGGTTCTGAAATATGTTAAAAACTCACCTACTCTGATGAACGATAGCCAGAAAAGCAAGTCCATCCCTCCAGGAGTGAGTGAAATTTATAATGTTGATACCAGAGTATCTGAAAATGAATTGTTCATGATAGGTATTATAGGAATTGCACAGCCAAACAAAAATAGCTTGCGCATACGAAACGGTTTGTAACTACGGCGGTAATGCATTGAACTTAGCCGTTACACGGCGTTACTGCTTGTTTTTAAAAGTTTTCCCCTGCTTTCCTTTTTTTCTTTTTTCGCCTATTTTTCGAGCTTCACTGGGTTGGCCCCATTAAGGTCATCCATTAGTATAGATTGTTTCCAGCCATCGTTGGGCCACAATGAGTTATGCACAGAACACCAAAAGTCAAATCGTTCAAATGGAGATTTTTTTTAAAAAAATGCGATATTATAAATACGATGATGAAATAATAAGACTATACAAAAACTCAAATCGTCGGACTACGCCGGTGTCAATAACCCGATTAAGGAACGGCTAATTCCAGACGGGACACCGACTCAAGATAGCGAAACCCACGTGTTGGTTCAAACAAGACGTACGATGACAAAGATAAGGAGCGGTTTACGTTTAGGTCAAAGCAAGAAAAGCGGTATAAGCACAAAAACGAAAACAACAAAACCAAAATCACTTTTTACACAATAAGAATAGAAGAAAATAATCAAAAGTACGATTCACACAGGTCCGGAGAGAAGTAATGGAGTGTGCCTGGCAGGTACTGCCTGCGGCTCACACAGGGTAGACAAGCATTTATCTATCCCCATTCAAATTATTGGTCCTTATAAATATTTGTCATCATATAGATAGGTGGATGACGAAATATCAACCTAAATAGAAACTAGCACTTTAGGCGTGACACACTACCAATAAGGTTTCTGAAGGCTCTTCATCACGAATGAAAAATTCAGCTGGATTCAGTTGAGTTTTGTGCCGAATCCAAACTAGTGTGTAAGTGAGTATACTTGCAGGAACTGGCACAGTTTACTTACCCTTCAGTGACTGCAACACACCATGCCATCAGACGTTCATCCTGACTAATCAGCCAACGATCAACACAAGGAGACCTGGTAGAAAGCAAGTTGACCGAATGCGACTGACTTCCGGAGTGACCGCTAAAGCTACGTCGCGTGATAGTGGAACCCGAGGAACTGATTGAGCCAACCAGGTTAGATGGGGGGCCAGTGCCAGCACGAACGGTGACTATGAAAATCCATATTGTATCCAAACCGAGAAGCAGGAGGTTATGGCAAGTCCCCCGGCTAGCATCTGTCGTGATCTCCCTGAGGAATGCTTCAGAATCCCAGGCTTGTTTCGAGCTGATTTCCACAAAGGCGGTCTGCATAACCGTTGCAATTTCATGCTACAAAAATGGAGAAGACCATAGGTAGTGAACAGTGATTGGTTCTACTTCAGTTTCCAACCAATACATTTGTAGATGCTCTTCTTTTGGGTGGGGTCTTCTTGGATATGAAAGCAGAAACTAAAGCGCTGAGAAGAATAGACGTGATCTGAATGCACTTGGGCAAGTTACTCTTTGTGTAACTCTTAGCAGTTGTCAGAAGATGCTCAACGTTCATGCAGAAACTATGAGGCAGAAATATCATTCATACCACTCAGTGAACAGAATATGTAACTGTGAAAATTGTCCCAAAAGCCATGGCGAGTTGCCCTCTAAATCATACAACAAAAGCTAATCAATCAACGCGATAGTCAGCGACTTCTTTTTTACATTGGCATACACTCAGTAGCTGTTCATCAAGCTGAAATCTCTTTGGAAAAACTGATGACCGATATACAGTGGCTCGATTGTCGTACCAGTTTAATCATGAGGCAACCTAGTGCAGCACACGCAGTTGTTTAAAAACATCATAAAGGAGAGATTGACCTGGGCTCCAGGTGAGTCTCCCATCAGAACCGATCTGATATGCAAGTGAGTATATTTGTCAAGCGCTTCTACATTCATTTCGAGAGTACGTTCAAACGGACGAGTTGTGGATAGTGGATACATTCTTCGTCATCAACGGACGATGATCATGTAACAGATTTATTATTACTACGAACTGTAGAATCACGATTAACAATAAGCAATTGGGAAATCTTTACAGGGTACACGTAAAACATTCAATGAAGACGCCAGTTTTGAAGATATAGAAGAATTATGTCCTTCTCAAATCCGGGACGCGCAAATATTCAAATAGTCTACAAGTTCTTTCTCGGTAATGCGCAAAAGCAAGAGCCAAATCTCTTTGTTTTGGTCCAGGTGTCTGCTTAGCAAGAGCACCTACCTCCGAGGAACAGCAAACTGTACACCTTATCATCTCGGTTGGATAGTATGGGGAGACTGAAGAACTAGGCATTTGTTGGACGAGTTGAGAAAATGTGGTATGCTAGCAAACTGGTCCCTGATTGTCTGAAGTCTAGATTGTGCTAGGTTGCATCCACTTTTCAACTACCTTTGACTGCGTAAAAAGGCAATCGATACCGTAAAAACGCCTTTTCCGAAAAATAAATAGCTGTAAAACACATGGAAAGGTATAAAAGGTATTAATCTTACTAAGATTTGCGTAGAGAACAGAGTTGAAACGGTCATGATTGGCCCAACCAACCTTTGGGGGCATTCATTCCGTACTGATAGAACACAAGGGTAGGAATGTGTAAGTATAGTGGGTGATGATTGTGACTAGTCCTTATGCAGTTGTGCTCACCCGAATATAGTCGGGCACTAATTAAGTGCCCAGCTACCACAAGTTTTGAAATCCGGAGTTAACCGAACTTTTGCGAGCGCTAGTGAAATTTATTCTCCCAGGACACTTGAATCCTAACCAAATCGCCTGAGAAATCGTTTCAGAAGTGCTAGGATTCCTGAAGCTTTCGTTACGAAGCAGCCATTAATATTCCTTCGCCGGTTGCCATTATCACAGTTTCGAAGAAAACAATCCTGATTCAGCTGCTGACTTAAGGTAATGACGTTCCAGTTTAAGTCCACTGCCGTCCGAAAAGCGTTGTGCAAGACACTTTTTATGTGGCCTATCTAACATCGAAAAAAACAAGAGAATGTTCTCCACATTCTGACCAATTCAACCTGATATCTGTTTCCGAATACAACTGCCATATCGGACTACATCAGTGGACAACAGGCTGTGTTGCATACGGTCGGTGTTGGGGCGCGTGTGAGACTAACCTAACCTCTTGTCTTCCCCTGTATCCCCATGGGAATAAAGTGGAACAGGAAAGGATAGTTCTATGGACATCACAATGCCCAAATTGTGACTTACGAATTTTAACTCAAGTAAGGACAAGTAAAGACTAGGGACCCTCAATGTACGCAAAGGACGGCCCCTCGTAAGATACGACACTCGGAAAGATCCAGTTATATATATATATATATATATATATATATATATATATATATAAAAAACCCTAGAGAGAAAACAAAAGAAGAGTGGGAGAGCGAGGGGAGTGAGTGTTTGTCTAGGTCACGCATACT